CCCAGGCTTACTGAGTCAGTCTTCATTTTAACAAGATTCCCATGAGACTGGTATATTTGTTTAAGCCTGAGAAGTTCTATCCCTAGAAAGCCTGAGTAAATCTGCTGTAGGGATTAGGAATCTACATCTTAAGTAAGGAGACTACTTATTCTGGTTCAAATGGACTTCTGTAAACACTTTTTTAAGGGGAAAAAAAATCTGCTTGCTTCTTGATACAATATTCCTCATGTAATCTGAGTCTCCTAGCTAAAATAGAACACTTCTGACAGACTCAATTGTAAAAAAAAATTTTTGAAAGCTTAAAATTATAAGTTAATGAAAACTTTAATAAAAATTTTAAAGGCAGTATGTCCAAAATAAAATTAACATGAATAAGAATAAGAATTCCCCAGGAATACCTTTTCAAAACACATATCTCACTCTTCTGCTGGGGAGAGGGAGATTATATTACCACTGATCCTTTGCCTAAGGAATCATTGTTATAACAAACCACTGTTATCTATGAGGATGAGAATGAAAACTTCAAAAATTATTGCATGATGATGACAAGAATACAATGAAAATCACCCAAAACGTCCATGGTTACTATTTTGGTCTTTTTTTTCAACAGACTTTATAGACAAATATATATATATATATATATATATATATATATATATATAGGCAAATGTAGACTTGAATTTTATATCTAACGGGGTCAAGTGGTATATACACTTTTGTAATCTTTTTTTCATTTAACATTTATTTTTATAACATGGGAATTTTCTCAAGTTACTAAATATTTTCCAAAAGACATCATTAAGTCACATAATTTTTCATTTTTTGTAATGCTAGGCCAGTATGCATTTCCCCCCTACCTTCCTTTACTTCAGGTTCTACTTAAAAGCTGTCTTATTTTTCTTAGTCCGAGATAGCTCCTTCCTACCACTTCTGACACCAGATTTTTGTCTGTAGTGCCTAGTCTCCAACTTTCTAGCAATCCCCTGTAGCACATTTCTGGTATTTATACAGGCGTCCTACCACTTAAATCTGCTTTTCTGGTTTTAGTCTACCTAGCATCTTTCTGTCCTTCCTAGGTACCATCAATTTCTGCCTGACTACTCCAGAATCCCAGATCAACCCATTAGTCTCAAAAGCCACACAATGAGAGCTAATTAGCAAGGGCTATTGGGTTTTGTGAAGAATTATCTCTATACGAATTAGTTCAGCCCAGACTGAACTGAAGTTGGGTGTAATGAACTCTAATTCAAACAGTTGAATAATCACATGGTTAAATTTATTTGGGAAATACTGCTTATATTAACCCTCTCCTAGAGATTTAACAATAACCTTAGCATTAAGAAATGGCAATTAAAGTTTTAAGAAGTCTTAAGCTAATTTAACTTGGCTAAACCTAGGATTTATCAAATGTATTTGACCTCAGAAGTTTTTTGGGGGCATACAACTGCATAATATGTCAGAGAAAATACTTTAACACATTTCGAGAAGCACTGTCTGTTCCACCAATGAAAATACAAGAATTTCATGCTTTGGAGAGAACTTCAGTGCTGCTCAAATCATGCCTAAAGGATCAGCCCTGCAAATATGCTGATTTTCTTCTAATCACATTAACCAAAAAACCCTAGATTTATTTTTAAAAATATGTGCTTAGTATTTCGTAGCACCCATGAAAGAGGATTTCTTTAGTTATATATTATTTAAATTCTTCCCATCATGGTTATTTACAATAAGTAAATAATTGTTTTCATTTCATAGTAATTTGTCATTCACAGAATTTTTACTTGTATTATCTGTGATCCTTGAAACCATTCTAAGAGAAGGCAGGCCTGGGTATGGCCTCCATTTTACAGATGAGAAAGCAGAGATGGACAGCATAGTAACTGTTCCAAGTCACATAATCCAAAAGTAAAAGAAGCCTGAATCCAAAGTAGGTCTCTTCTGAGTCAATGTGGTCTATCCTTTCAAGTTGCTAAAAACACCTCAGTTCCAATCCTGTGCCTTTTGCCATTTGTTAACATGATATTTACAATTTAGAAGTACACTGGGGATTTTCTACAGAATGTTTCCTTTTAATGACTATATTATGCTGTATTAGAATAAGAGAAAGATCCTGATCCTAATCATTTGGGTAAGACTATCAGAATCCACAAGTGAAATCTAGCTAATTCAAGCATATGAAAGGTTCCTTAGAATGTACAAGTCAAAAGTTTGAGGAGAAATCTAGACTGGAGATGTTTTCTCTTTCTTTCTAATTATTCTTAGTTATACATGGACACGATATCTTTATTTTGTTTGTTTATTTTTATGTGGTGCTGTGGATGGAACCTGGTGCCTCACATGGGCAAGGCAAGCGCTCTGCCACTGAGCCACAACTCCAGCCCTGGAGATGTACTCTTTTTTTTTTAATATTTATTTTTCAGTTTTCGGTGGATACAACATCTTTATTTTATTTTTATGTGGTGCTGAGGATCGAACCCAGCACCCCGCACATGCCAGGCGAGCGCATTACCGCTTGAGCCACATCCGCAGCCCGAGATGTACTCTTATAATGTTTTTCTTCCTTGGTTTTTAGAATATCTTCAAATCTTTTCTCAAGGAGGCAATGCACACATACACACACACCAACACACTATAAAGAAAACCTCTATTTCACAGCCCCTCCCATTAAAAATTGCCTTTCTATGTAAAGAAATATACAATTGAAGTATGAGAAAATTTGGAGGAGACTGTTAAATTATAGTCATAATTCTAAAAATTCATGAAATGAAGACAGCCAAATTCTTTTCTGAGACCTGTAAAAAACAGGATGTTTTAAGAAGTTTTATTTAAAAAGTAAAGAAAATATTCAATGAATGAATAGTACTGAACTAAACTAGTGCTTATGTCCCTTTCTGTTTTCATAGTGAATAGACATTAGTCATTTTTTTTTTCTGAATTGAAAACTTGGAATCATTTTCTCATTCAGAATATATGCTACAACCACAAGGCAGCAAGTAAAGAAGGGTCCAAAATATTCTCTGTGCTAAAGTGAACCAGCAGCTATTGCTGAAGATGAAGTGAGTAGAATCTAATTTTCGACAGCCATATCTGCAGGCAGAAATGCTATCTGTGGCATGCAACAGCCTTGGCACAGGATCAAGGTAACCAAGTCCCAGAGCATGTCTTTACGATTGCACTCTCTTGCAATGAGTACTTTCAGGCATCACTGGAACTCTGCATTTCTCCAACTTTATCCTGCTAAAGTCTAATGGCAAACATCAATGTTGTTTTCATTTATTTTTAACTCACATGTGTGTAGTCATGAAGAGGAGTAATGGAAAGAAAGACTTTTTAATAAGTGAAAATACTAGAAGAAATGTTCAGAAAAATGTTATCTGTGTTAGACTGTATTTATTAGAGTAAACTGCAATTATTGATGACTCTTACCTTAAGGTAGAAGAGTAATGTAAATAATCACTAAGAGATAGAAAAAACAGAAGAGTAAAGAAGAGAGAAGGCACAGACAGGAAGAAGAAATTTTAAAAAATATGTAAATCAAACAGAAACAGATATACTCATACAAAATGTTCATTTTGAACGCTACCATCTAATTTTCCTGAAGATTATACTGATTACCCCCCCACACACACACACACAATCACAATAAAATCAGAAAATCTCAATCTGTCTTTAAATTATCTAATAATGACCTAAAGGAAAAAAAATTGAGTCATATAAACTCAAAAAAAAAAAAAAAACCCTTAAATTTTGTCCTTTAAAAACCACTACCAAATAAGTATTCTATTCACCTGATAAAAGGCACAAAGTTTGATTCTGTCCTGGGGGATGGAAAAAAAAAGAAAGGAAACTGGTAATGTATAAAGAAGAGGAGGGAGGAGAAGTGGATGAAAAGATAGTTAAAAACAAGCAAAGCCAAACATGACAGATGGATAAATACAGAAACAGATAAAAGCATGTGGACTTTGGTCTTGCAATAAGAGAACCACCTTTCTTTCCTCTTCAAAACTCACTTCTCTTCCCGTGACCTCTATTTCCAGAGGTGGTACCACCCTTTACCTAGTCACCTGTTAAAAGCTGGGAGTCTTGAGTATAATCTGGCTCCAGTCCAGAGCCAATCACCACTTTTTAGCAAATACAAGGGGTAGCTGTCCCTCCTCCCCATGCCTCCCTCATGTGACACTCCAGTTTATTGGCAGGTTTTACAGGTCAGGATGTTTCCTCCTTTCATGCCTTTGCTGTGCTGTCTCCATTAAATATAATGCATTCTTTTCTCATTCTTTTGGTCCCATCTTACTCAGAAAACCTTTCCTGAATGCTCTGTATCCAAAATTTGACTAGGTACCCCTTTTCTCTACTTCATAATGTCTACACAAATCTCTATCACTAACATAACACCACAGTTACCTCCTTGGCCACTGTCTTTCCTAACAGACTGTAACCTTTTCTGATTTATCTTTGCAAACTCAATGCTTAATATACGTCCTGGCACTCTAAAGGGCATTAAAAAATGTCTACTGAATGAATGAACAAACAGTGAGATTAAAAGTTTAAATGGCATGCGGCGGGGTGGTGGGGGCTGGGGTTGTGGCTCAGTGGTAGTATGCTTGCCTAGCATCCATGAGGCACTGGGTTTGATTCTCAGCACCACATTAAATAAATAAATAAAGGTCCATCAACAACTAAAAAATATTATTAAAAAAAAGTTAAATGGCATGGGATATAATAAGTTCCCATCTCAAAGCTTTTAAGTAAATCTGACTATAAGGGAATCCCCATACTAGGTACGAGCTATAATCAGTCATATGACTTAGTGACAGTCTTTCCAGTTTTACACACATTCCTTCCTATTTGCCTGATTATACTGACTCTTTACATAGCTCTTGATAATATTTATCAATAGGAATATAAGACTTTCTACAGTTAGTTCTTTTTATTAGTTTATTTTTAAGACATGGTTTATGAATGTCTTTTAAGAAAGTGGTAACATTTATGTGACTTACTGAATACATCTCCTCTGGGTTTCTGAGGATCTGTCTGTATCCTGTTGTCAACTGTAACTCCTCTTGCAGATGTACTTGTAGCTGGTTCTGCAGTTGTCAGTCTGGTAGGTGGCCTTTCTGGGGTTGGTGGAGGTGGAGGTGTTCTGAACTCTGTTGGCAGGGGTGGTGGTGGAGGAGTGGGCTGTGGTAATGGCTTTGGTGTAGGTCTTGTTGTTGGCTTAGAAGTGGGCCTGTTGGTAATGACAGGAGGAATATATGGTGTCTTCAGAGGCCACCTAGTACTTCTGACATCAGGAATCCAATTATTATCTCCTCCATCACCCTTTAAAATTGTACCATTTCCCTTTGGTACATGAATTGGACCTGAAGGCTCAATCATGACTTTGGGGATATCTGAAAGAGTCAAGATATTTAAATTAGTATATAACCATTTCTAACAAGTGAAACACCAAAATTAAAAAAAAAATAGATACACATGGGGCTGATATACAGTTCAGTGGCACAGAGCTTACCTAACATGTGTAAGGCCCTGGGTTCAATTCCTAGTGGGAACTCTCACACAAATTAGTTTCATTTTGCATGTTTAGATTATTTCTTACTGTAAGTTATACTACTTTCCAAATGACAAATGCATGTACAGATATGTGTGTGTGTGTATGTATGTATGCAAAAAATACAATGGTATTTTTATAATGAATATGCATTATTTGAACACAAAAAGTTTTAAATATTCATAAAGAGGCAATGAGAGGTTACTTTTTTAATATACAGAGACATAAGTTTTTTTCCAATATGAGAAATATAGAGAGTCTAATGTTAGGTGTCCAGTGCTACATGTATATCATAAAACTGTTTAGAATTGTCTAAAGACTGATACTTTTCTCACCTACTCTTTATATAAATTCAATTCATGTAAAAACAAACAATTGATTAGATGTTCTACATATGGTTTTATAATTTACTTTCCTTTCCCTTACTAATTTATACAACTGCTGTCTAAAAAAGAAATTTTCGGAGGTTACAAAGATCATCTGAATAAGCTTTACCCTTGATAATCTTCACCAAAAATATCAATATTCAATCTGCCTGGAATGATAAAGTCCAGACTAGGAATGACTGCATGACCCCTCAAAAATCCTCTAATCCCTTAATTTTATGCCCCATGGTTTTTAGTAAATATTTCACTCAGGAAATTTTAAATATTATCTAATGTTACATGAAATGTATGCTAAATTATGCCTTTGGTTTGTAAAACTTTCATCTTAGAGAAAGTTTTATATATTTATTTTTCATATTTATCTCCAATGTACCCACGACTCCAAATACAGCTTGTAAAATTTTAAAAGAAAAATAGTTCTGATTTTAGAGGAAATAAATATGGAAATTCTTTTTTTATAGTAGAGGTTGGAGGTGCAAAACAGAGGGACAAAAATGTGGAATATATTCACAATTTAATACTAATGACAAATAATTATTTCTGATTTTTATTTTTAATTAAGTACTAGGAATTGAATGTAGGGGCACTATGTCATTGAGCTGAGTCCTTTTTATTTTTCACTTTGAGACAGGGTCTTGCTAAGTGGCCCAGGTTAATCTTGAACTTCTGATCCTCCTTGCCTCAGCTTTGTGAGTAGCTGGGATCACAGGAGTACAATACCATGCCTTGCTTTGTTTCTGATTTTAACAAACCCAAGAATTCTATAGGTTCTTTTTCTTAGGTAAATAGAAGTTATTTAGAGATTTTAGTAAAAAAAAAAAAACTCTGATGTTTTAAATGTTAGGATATATTACTGGTTTTTAATTTTTAAAAATACATGAGCATATGATTTTATTGTTTGTGGAAAGCACAGACCAGTATTACTAAATTATATGATTTTGGTAACTAATTATGTCCCTTATCTTCCCTAGCAATGGCCTTTGTAGGATCATGTATTTCCTGCTGGAATTTAGAGCTGGAAGACAAGTGTTACTCACAGACACAAGTGAATCCATCACCATGGTATCCATCTTTACATTTACACTTGTAGGACCCATGTATGTTGTAACATCGAGCAAAGCCACTGCACTGATGCTGACCAAGGGAGCACTCATCTATATCTGCATCAGGAGGTAGGAGAAGAAGCAGTTTATCTAGCAGACAAATATGATAATATGCAAAATATATGCAACTTCAAATTTTTTTCTTTTTTGCAATATGGACCATGTAAAACAAGCAAATAAACAGAAGAAATAAAGTACATATATTGGAACTACTAGTGGTTGAACTGGATGTTAGTTGGTTTGCTTAATTTAATGCCAATACCTTTCCCTGTCCCTGATATTTAACCATCACCACAATTAAAATCCCCTACATTACTATAGAAAGAAACAACGCAAAGTGATGGTTGAGTTTCATTACCGTGACATTGGTATTTGCCTCCAATGTACATGAGGTCGAAGCCTTTATGACACTTGCAGATGTAACTCCCAAAAGTATTGACACACTGTCTAAATCTAGGGCAGGAGACTCTTCCAGTAGCACATTCATCGACATCTAGAAACATAAGTTAATTGCATTTTAGGCATGTTCAGATGGAGCGGGCTTTAAAATAAATGACTGACTGCAAACTGTTACCTGGCACACAACAGCTCATCATAAGTGGTATCCAGCTGGCTGCCACCACAGGCAACATAAATTCAACATCTCCAAATTTTAGCTCATCCTCCTAAATCAAGCTGTTCTTTTCTCATACCCTATACACATACTGCACTGTGACTACCCAGTTGCTTAAAGTAGAAACATGAATCATCCTTGACAATCCTCTTTCCCTTAAGTCCCAAATCATAATGTCCAGATAATTCTACCTCTGAAAACTTTATTGGAACCTGTTTACCACCACCACTACCCTATCCCAAGCTACCATCTTCTGTGTTAGACAGTTAGGAAAGTCTCCAATTTGGTGTTTTCACTGCTTATCTTTCCCTTCTCCAAAGCATTGCCTACTGCACAGTCAAAAATGACTTCAGTAAAACATAAGATCACATCATTGTTTACTTGCTTTTTGAATTAAATCCACATTTCATCTTACAACCTTGAAGGCTCTGCAATCAATAGCCCTCACCTACCTCACTGGCTGTATCCTAAGCCACACCCTGCACGCTCACACTCTGCACTTAGCCACAAAGACTCCTTTAAAAACCTCACAGGCCAACCTCTCACTGCAGTACCCAGCAAAATTTTCACCTCTTGGCACATTCTTCACATGGCTAATGGCCCATGTCTTACTGTGGGAATTTTCCTTACCATTTCTAATACAGACCCTTTCTGTTTTTTTTTTTTCTTTCTTAGTATTTCATGTTAACACTTAGCTTGGTCTATAATTTTATCATGGGTTTTTTTCTCTGACTTTCCTACTAGAATGTCCATCTCATGAGGCTCAAAATCTTGTCTGCTCTACCCATTACTGTATATCTACCCATTACTGTATATCCAGCACTTAGCATAGTGTCTTCACCACATGCTAGGTCCTCAATAAACTCTTTGTATACATGATCTTGTTCAATCCTCACATTGGTTCTACGTAGCATTATTCTCATTTTAAAGATAAGACGACCTAGGCTCAAAGAACAAAAGTATCTTGCCTAACCGAGGTTACATACCTAGTATGTGGCAGAGCCAGGCTGGGAACCAAAGCCCAGATTAATCCACAATTATACATCGCCATCTTAATTTTCCAGGAAAATATCTAACCCCCATGTTGCAACACATATAATCCAGCCCCTTCTACCTTGTCTGCTTTATCACTTCATGGCTCCTCCTTGCCTCTCATATTCTAAAAATACAGAGTTCTACTTGTTTTCCTGAACATTATGCTCCCTTGAACCTCAGTGTTTTTGTACACATGAATCCCACTGCCCAAATCTTCCTTTGGTCCCTCCCTTTTGGGGAAACAAGGCTTCCAGGTGCATTCAGAGTGGGGTCCTCTTCTGAGACATCTGATACCTTCTGGTCTATAGCTAATTACCTGATATAAGTAACTGCCTGCTTTCCTAATTCTATTACCTTCCACTTCCTTTCTCTATCCTTATAGAAGCTGTTGATAAATATGCTTGATGTTACAACTTACCCACACAGGTCCTCCCGTCAGGAGCCAGCTGCAGACCTGGGGAGGGGCACTGGCACCGGACTTGCCCTTTAACAACATCGCAGCCATACTGACAGTTTGCCATGGAGCATGTTAGGGCACCTGTAAAGAGAGTGACTGGCTAACTCAGAGAAGTAGAAAGAAAAAGCTATGATTCAAAAAACTATATTCTTCCCTTTTCCTAACATCATTGACAATAATCAATCAACAATGCAGACATAGAGGCCTCAATTAACCAACACTTTAAAGAAAGTAAAGAAAGTTAAAAAAACATTGTGAGGAAAGGGAAGGGATGGGGTGGGGGGGAAACCCTTCTGAAGGATAATTAGGAAATAGACCAGCTTTCATCGTCTGGAGATTTTTAATGTTTTTAAATAATTACATGATAAATGTAAAACTTTATCTCACATAGATTATCTGGATTTTTTTCCAGTGGCCAACTGAAAAAAATAGCAACACTGTTCTTAATCAAAATTTTCAAGCAATTGTCTTAGCTGCCTAGCAAATTTCTCTAGAGGACAGCAGATTTCCCAGAGTTGCACAAAGTTAGATGATTTTAGCACCACTGCCATATGTTATTAAACATGTATTCATTCACCTCATTCCAGAAAGTTCCATTGCTATGTCTATACAATGCAAAAATAAAATTAGCATTTTTTTACTTTATAAAATGCAATGTAGTTAGATGTTAATTTGGCAAAATAAAAACTAAGTCACTAATTGTGGAATATCATATAAATGTAAGTTCAATTAGATGTTCACCTTTTAGAGAATTTTAGGGTATTGTCCCTTTTATAAACACATCTGATAACAGTAAGAAATGCCATACATTTTCTTTTCTTACAATGATCCTCATGAAATCTACTTTTCTGATGTTGTGTTTATTTTTAATTTGAAAGAATTTTTATTTTAGAAGTGATAAACTATTATAAAAGTCTAAAAATCTCATACTATTATAAAGAAATATAAAAATGAAGTGAGAAGGTATATATGAATGATTTATAATCTCTCAACAGACCTGATGGATTATCTCTGAGTGGTACCCAAATAATCACTAATGTTTTGTTTTTTTTTTAACCTGGAATAGTTATCCTAGACCCAGGTAAAAGTTAGAGTTCAACATATTAGAAAAAAACATTAGGAAACATCTTCAGTTTTGTGATTTTTGCTCTAAATACCATTTTCAAATCAACTTAATATTGGCACCCATAGTAAACAACATTATACATCTAAAATGGGTAAAACAAGATCTTATCTCAAAATAAAAGGGTGGGGATGTGGCTCAGTGGTTAAGTGTCCCTGGGTTCAATCTCTAGTACCAATAAAATAAAATGGGCATCTCTTATTTTGATTTTCATTCCTCAGACAGACATATCAACACATGCACATGTCCTGTTCAGGAGGGCCCTAGAGGGCCACATTTGCAAAGGCATGCTATCAGAGCATGTCAGATATCAAGCCCAAAGCACTTATAAAACAGTTAAGATTCTTGACATACTTGAGCAGGACCCATCCGGCATAAGCATATATCCATTGAGACAGTAGCACTTGTAGCTGCCGAAAGTGTTCATGCACCTGTGCTTACAGGGCCGAGGCTTCAGGCCACACTCGTTTAGATCTGCAAAGAATGTGAGTTCAAGCAGAAAAATCACAAAACCTCAGAACTAGTGTAAAACATTTAAAATGCATTTCAGTATTGAAGGATGAAACAGAAAAGTGACTCAAAATATGGCCATCTTCCTTTATGTAAGAGATAAAGCCTATTCATGCAGTCTTCATTTGAACATTACCCTGGTGTGACCAGGAGTCGCCATGACTGATGTAGATCTCTGTTCATAAAGGACAGTTATGAGGAATCTCCCCCAACCTGTGTCTGCTTATCATCCCCAGAAAGTGCAGAATACTCACCTTCTGCTGGGACAAACTCTATCAACTCACCTCCTCCTGGGGGGCTCTAGTGACTCATCTCCTCTTGTGGGGCTCTATCACCTATACTGACTGCCAATCTGTTCAAAATACCTGTGTTCCTACTAGAGTCACATGCCATGATGTGACCCTACTCTTTCAATGTCTTCTTTTCTCTGTTTTAAAGAAGGCACTACATGAGCATTTTACTTTACAGAAAAGTACATGAATTTTAAAACATTAAACTTCTTTGACCTTTCCACAGGTTAGCTATATTTTCAGAGAATAAGAACTATATGAATTAGAGTGACCATTATTGTAGTTTCTCCCATTCAATTTTGTAGATTATGTACTGATCTTAGATTTAAGAAGAAAATTGAGTTTCCTACTTTAGTAATGCATTCAAGTCACAAAATAAACTTTTAAAAATACCTCCAACATATTTTCATTCATTTGGCCATTAAGAAGGGCATATGGAAATACTAATGGATAAAACATAATGGACTATCATTATGTATTTTATGTTTATTGGCTTAAATATCTATATGAAATGAATTAATGAATTCCACATTATGAAAATTTTCCAACTCAAGTTGAACACTGCCTCAAGTGAACATAAAACTCATAATGAAATATAAACATTGAAATAGTAATGCCCATAATATAGACTTCATTAAAAAGAAATGTGACCTCATGTTTATTTTGTCTGGAATAACCAGCTAAGTACCTCATTAGCATAATTTAATTATCTATTAACCCATGTCACTGAATAAGAAATATGGATAGCATAACTAGTTGCAGAGTTGTTTTCAAATCTAATGAAAGTTAAATCTGACTGGCCCCTCTATTAGAAATCTGTATATTCCACTTAAGTAACCACCAAGTAACATTATATTTTAAACCACCAAAGAATTATTATATCTAAGAGTATTTTCATGTCTTATTGACTTTCCAACTTAGTCTTTTTTCTACCCTTAACAAAAATGTAAGCAAGTCCCCAGCTGGGCAAAGACTGGAAAGGTTAAATAAATAAATCAAATACTTTTGTTCTTTCCTGTGCTTTCTTCAATTTCCTACTTTATTGTCTTTTGCCCAGTCAAAGGTTTTCAAAACAGAATCACATTTTAAACATTAAAAAATATTCCTCATAGAAGATACTTTGCAGATTCCAGTGTCAAAAAAGTTGATTATTCTCTTTGTTAAATGAAATAATAATCAGGGAGGAACGACTGAGAAATTCTCTCCCTTTCCTATATTCTACTTTGTATTTCACTATTTATTCAAAAATTGAGTCAGGGAAACTTTCCTCATTTTTAAAAGGAGTCAAGTACATTCCTAATATGTCCTACCAAGTCACACCTGGCTTTGATAATTCCCTGACTAAGTTTATAGGAAGTAGTATTTAACTTGTAATACATTATAAGAGAAAAGCTTTGTGTTTTAAATATTTTTCTGAGCTAAACAAAAACATAACAAAACAGTACAATAAAACAATAAAGTATAACTGAATAATGTGTCTCAAGAGAAGGATATTAATGGACAAAAATGTGTCATTTAAGAATCCCTAGCTTTATTTTTAGAAAGCCGTAGATACTTCTGGGGGCTCCTCATGGAGATTGGTCAGGTGTTTATAACTCCAGCATAAACCAGGAGGATTTATGCTAATGGAACCTCTTCAGACACTGGACCCTTGGACTAACACTGAAGCCCAGTTGGGGCAGCTGTTCCACAACATGGCTCTGGTGTTGGCCAGTAGTGGGCCCCTTTGGATTGCTGTGGAAATCTTCATAGTCCAGACTGGGGCTACTGGTGGTCTGGCTTTAATCTAAATTTATCTTACCTTTCCTATGAGAAAAGCATTTTGAGGTTAGGAATAATGAAACTAAAAAGAAATAAAAACCAATAAACTGTCATAATTTTTAAAAATCTGGGAATCATTTTATGAAATATTTTGGAAAAGGAAGAAAACATGCAATATTCCATGGGTAAATGCAGAAACATTCATTGGCTATTTTACCTGTTAGTAAATTGGCACGTAAGTATCAAAATACATGGAAAGCAATTTGAGAAAATTCTATTCTTAACAGCTGTTGGGGGATGAGATGATGTTCCCTGACAGATGGCTGGTGTAAATATCCCCAATGCCTGTCATCATTGCACCATCTGCCGCAGTCAGGTGTCTCCTAAAAACTTCACAATGACCCTTACCAGTACTTCTGCAAGCATTATAAACAGGATTCCACAGTAAACTGTGTTAATCAATACTGTCAAATATCACATTTTGCTGAAGTAGGGAGCTTCAAAAGATTAAATGCATTTGGGGTCCTGGTGAGGAACCTCTTTTTCCTCAATTACTTGAGGGTTTCTATTCTATGATTATGTTACCTTATTTTCTTAATGACCTAAAACCATAAAATTGAGTTAATATGTGCTACTTCTAATAAATATTCATTATCATGATATATTGGATTATAGACCAAGTAAGGTTTGTATTGTTGTCATACTAAGTGAGAAACTACAAAATGACATTTCTATATAAGGGAAAATGTCCTTAATAATAAGTAGAACCATGATAATTCTCCTTGATCCACACCATCCCAGATAAATCTTGAAAGTTGATAAGAGAGGGTTGGGGTTGTGGCTCAGTGGTACAGTGCTTGCCTAGCATATGTATGGCCCTGAGTTTGATCTTCATCACAACATAAAAATAAATAAATAAAGTTATAAAAAATTGATGAGAACCTAAGAAATAAAACTTCATTGTTTTCATTTTAAATTTACTTTAATCTTGCTCTTTCTATTGAAGTTTATAATATAAATTATCAGGGAAAATATATAACATAATTAATTAAAATATATAATGTAATTAATTCTATAAAGAACCTATCTTATGCTAAAAGATAGAATTTTACAATTAAACCACTTATGTTTAAATATTTTAAATATTCTCAAAGAGCATTACCATCAGGAGTACATTTAAGCAGGTTGGTAGATTCAGGAGCTTGGGTGGGAGAAAAGGGGAGAGAGAAGGTGACTGGTCCAGAACAGAAATGCAAGCTGCATAGCATTATTATTACACTTCAGGAAAAAAAAGAATCAGAAATTTTATTAGCATGCAGACATTGAAAAAATAGTTTGAAAAAAATGGGAAGTGATTTCACTGAATAAGATAACCCAATGGAGTTTTTGTGTTTTTGTTGTTGTTGTTGTTCTTGTTGTTTGGTACCGGGGGGATTGAACTCAGGGGCACTTGACCACTGAGCCACATCCCTAGCCCTATTTTATATTTGATTTAGAGACAAGAGTCTCACTGAGTTGCTTAGTGCCTCACTTTTGCTGGGGCTGCCTTTGATCTCACGATGCTTCTGCCTCAGCCTCCTAAGCCGTTGAGATTATAGGTGTGTGTGGGCCCGGCTCCCAATGGAGTTTTAAAAGACAAAAAGCTTTCATTCATTTTAATGCATTTGGACTCTCCTCACCTTTGATGCTTACAATGGGTGATGTTTCAGAAATTTGAGCTTTTAAACTTGGACTAAAGTGGAGGTCACTGGAAAACAGATGTTAATATATCACCTGCCATATCATTAGTTCTTTAAATTATAAATAACTCTGAAACTGATCACATTGTCTTTCTTTGTGCAGAAGATATGAAAATGTATCAAGTTCCCTATTAATAGAGACAATAATTATTGTAAACTATGTTAATTCAGTTATTCTAAGTTCCTAAATCTATGAGTGGGTACAGAATAAAATCTTGCAGAAGAACTGTAAAATTATTCTACTACCTTATTTTTCTATAAAACTTTCTTGCACAATGTAGACATTAATATTTTTGGTGTTCCTATTCTCATAACAACCCTGTAGGCAAATAAGACAGGAATTACTGTCTTCCCCATTACTGATTGGTTTGCTAAGACCCAGACACATTAAATGTCTTACTCACAATGGAAGAGCTTATGGGAACCAGAACTTAGGCTTTCTGATATTACAAAATGTGCACTGAAAGAAAGAAGCAAATATATGGCTTGATTTCTAGGTAACCTTAAATTCTACACATCAAATAGATGGTGGTGGGGAAGAGGACTTAATCACTTCTAAAATCTACCTGGCAAAGACATCAAAACCCCAATCTCGGTTACTCTGGAATTCCTGACTTTGCCTACATATGAAAACAAAACTTATCTTGCTCTCTGATTTTGGGAAAACATTTCAAAACCCAGAGAAGAGGAAAAGCAATGATATAGTAAAAGGACAGTGAAGGCTCCATGCTTTTCAGGGCACAGAGAATCGGCACCAGGTGATAGTTCCTGCTGTTTGCTTCACATGCTCAGGCTGAAGGCTGGGCACTTCTGTGCTAGTCTTCAGAACTTTTGCAAGAAGTGACATAACTGCAGGAAGCTGTGCAGGTGGGAGGAGCAGACCACCTGAGACAATGCACGCTCACCCCTTGCAGGTAAACTTGTGGCTTGATGATCCAGGGGTTGAAAAAGAGGTTGTTCACTGCCTTGATCAAGAGGAGTTGGGTAGAAGTGCTCATCTTCACACCAGGAAGAAGGTAATAAGAGTCAACTTTGAACTGATGTCATTTTTAAACCCTAAAATCTTTACAAGTATATATTAAATAAGTACATAAAGTTGGTGGAACTTAAAAAGAACTCTTTAGATACTTTACCAGAAACAAATAGTTCCTAGTTCTCCTTCCCCTTTAATTTTAATTTTCCTAAAACTTGATGACCATCATCAAGAATAATAAACACATTATAAATTAATAACCCATCATTCTCTTACCATTTAAAAAAACAACAGCAAAAAAGTGATCATTTTTAAAACCACCATGTTAGTCATCAACAGAAGGGAGAAACAACACAAATTATATTGATTACAATTCACTGGCTCTAGTTAAGGACATTAAAGACTTAAATGGCCAACTTAAGATTTATTTTTTCCTATATTGTGATGTTGTTTAGCAATGGCTTAAATATCCTAAAATTATGCATGAATTTATGTTTTGCATAATGATCCTATTTAAATAATAGCTTGATCACCACTATTTTCATTCAAAAGTAAAAACTTATGTCACATGTAGGTCACATTTAGTTAGAACACACATTAGAAGCTTTATGTAAAAAATGTTAACTGTTGCCATTATTAGCTTACCAAGACATAAGACAGAAGAGACTCTGATAGAGAATCAAAAAGAAAAACACATTCTATTTTAACAGCCATTTAAACTTCCAAATCAAATGAACCTTGGTTTCTGGGGTTGAAACCACACACCTTTCCAAAAGTGAGGATCGAGGTAACCACTGTAATACTAGGGTTACAGTACTTAGATTGTTGTGCTAAGTGAAAAAATAGAGATATAACTTGTAAACCAGTATTTAATATTTATTAATATTTAATTATATACTATGAAATATTGATCTTTCTTGGGATGTGGAATTCAACATCTGAAACAAAACCCATGCCAAAACATTAGTAATTGATATTTATAAATTGTTCTGAAATCATTATCAAGCACACTATAAATTCAAAAGAACATCTTTTATTTCTAAAAATATGAATGCTATATGTACATGCTAACAATAATTCCCCAATGGGAAAGATATAAAAATATTATTATATATATTATTATTATTTCTTAGCTGGGGGCAAGGGGATTTGTAGGGGTACTAATACTCAAGGAAAGGAAAAATAATCATGAATAAAATTATTAGAGAATGTAAGGGTCAGGAAGCAAATGATCAAAGAAAATCTTATTAGAATTTGGGTTCGAATTTCATCTACTATGAAAGGTATCATGTGCCTTATCAAGTATGCTAATGATCAGTCCAAAACTATGATTCTATATCTGATCTTGGTACAGCAAATGGAGAAAATAACTTGGAAGGAAGAGCAAGCCACCAACAATAGTCTAAGCCTGTGACAAGGTTATAAAATTAAGCCAGTTCCGCAGAGCAACTTGCCCTGCAATTCTAGTTGTTCCCCAGGCAGCTCTAAAAGCACTGGTTAAGCACTTGTCATTTATATAAGCTGTTTACTCTGTCAAACAAGTTTCCAAGGGGTTATTTATTAAAATATATTACTCAGAGCAAAATTCTTAGCAAATACGTGCCTTGTATCAAAGCCTACTTTTAATCAGTAACTAAATTTCTAGTTCTATGGAACTATTTCAAATTTATTTCTTTTTGACATTTCTCCTCTTGAGAAAAAAGAAATGTTTGATTTCCTATATCTCTGAGGCATATTTTTTACTTTATTAAAATGTGTGATCCTAGATAAAAACAGTCTAAGTTAATTTCTCATACAGCAGGTACAGCCAGTTTGCTCTTCAGGTTCCATGGGGTCTCTAGGCAGCTCTCACACTTACCAGGTTGTTCACAGTAGCCTCTCTCAACCTGGCAGGGCTCTCAGTCCACCGACTCAGAGACTATCTAAGTTTTTGTATCACAAACTCTATGGAACCCTTTGAAGTTCCTGTGGTATTTAGGACTGAGAACCCTTATATGAATCAATCATTCATTTAACAAATTTAATGTAATCTTTGCATGTGCAAGTCACCTTAATAATAGTTTTATGGAATCCAGAAATCAGAGACACCACAAAGGGTTTCCTCTCTCAAGTAGCATAAACCTTTTGCATCAGGAATGTGCTACAATTGCTTTTTTTTTTTTTTTTTTGTAAGGAGAACAAAGTAAGAACATATGAACATATGAGTTTACTCCAAGCTGGGGTTTTGTTTTCAAGATTAGACCTGAAGTGACATTTTAAGTGTCAGTGCTATTTTTGCAGGTGTAAATCCCATTTTGGTACTAATAAAATCTTCTTCTCCCTAAGGAATATGGTTTGGGGAGGCAAGATTTTAACTTGGTGTATTTCCAATTTTCTTGAGGGAAAATAAGTGTGCTATAGGAAAAAAGCACACAAGGTAAATTGGTTTATTGAAGATAAGAGATGTCCAGTGATGGAGCCTTGTCCAATAATAGATTTAGTGTCTTTGAATAATTAAAGTTACTATAGCTCCTGCAAATAAATTTAAATAAACTTCTCTGCAATCTCAAAAGTGGCTTCTTTTAATAGTCTTCCTGATATGGGGACAATAAAGTTTTATAGTGTTGACATATTAATAAAACCTCTGAGAGTTTATGTTTACCATTTTTAAAAAAGAAATAGACTGGCATTCCAAGATGAATACTGATAACTCAAAAACCAGAACCTAACATGCTGCTACTTGTGAACTTACGCTAGGGAAGGAAAATCAAACAAACTTTTTTAAATCAAACTCACTTTTAGAGTAACTGAGATAATAAAAACACCAGTTATTTCAAAAAGAGCCAAGTATGTTTGGGACGTGATGCATTTCATCTGATGAATAATTGCATATATTTTAAAATATCATTGTTCTACATGGTTGTAGAAACTATGTCTATAAATCATGATTGACATGACACTGCAAGGAGTATCCTGGAACAAGTATCAGATACTGAATAATATCATTTCTGTATAAGATAAAGTCAAATAAATACCCATGGGATAGTTACACCTGACCCCACCACTCCCACCCCCATCATTATTTTATTTGACATTTAAGATAATAGAGTATTACACTAAGAAATAAGAAAACTTGACTTGTTTATCTTTTTAGTGAAATCTAAGGTGAACATTTCTTTATTTCTAGATTTTAAATTCCTAACATTTAGAAATTTTTGCTAAAATTAATTAGGAAGACAAGCCTTGTCCAAGCCTTATTAGGCAGAGTCAGAGGATAACACTTCCAGTTATATTTTCTTCATCCAAAACTAATATAGTAGGAAGGATAGGAATTATATAAAACAATAGCTCTGGCTTGATATACTATCTTTTATTTTTAACCAACTAATTTTGTGAACTAGGGAAAGACAATATCTCTGAACTTCAAATGAAAAGTGGAATAAAAATGTATGTTATTATTTATAACTTAATTATAATAAGTAGCATTCCACTTCTTAATGTACTTATAAGAATGGAAATAGATAATTAATATAAAGTATTTGAGACACTGTAGATAAATAAATGTTTATTTTTATAAGCAAATGATGCCGATTTTTAAATCACTTGCAAACTAATCCACATTTTTATTTCTCAAAGGAGCATTTAAAATGAGCCAACAATTTAAGGGAGACTTAAAACACAGAATCAGAGGGTTCACAGTTGGAAGGAGCTTCCAAATTTTAAGTCCAGTGCCCTACCTGGTTTCTGGTATTAAAGAGAAGCAGTAACTGGGATCTGAGGAGGTTAATGATCTTCCTAACTAGTTAGTAGAAGCACCAGAAGGTAAGGCATCTAACCATACTACTGATGCAGTGATGTTCTTCAAAAAAAAATTTTAATAAATATGAGAGAATAAAAATAAGGGGATATAATTTATTTAATTGTATTTTGAGAAAATCAAGTTTATTAGATTTACCTTTTCTTAACTTTTTAAAAAATCTGCCAGCAAAATGGCAGCTCACACATTTGGGGAAAAATTGATATGGAAACTAGTTTGGGATGAGAATTTAAAATTTTTAATTTGTCAGGAATAGAGATGGCATATTGCTTTGGTCTGTTTTCCTACCTTGATTGCAGGTTTTTCCAGCATATCCAGGGTGGCACTTGCACTTGTTAGGCCCAATACACTCACCATGTTTGCACTGTGGCTGGCACACAGCTGTAAAAAGAGGTCATGCATTATTGCTAGTTCAGCAATACACCAACTATACAGCATTAATGTCATGGACTAGTTTGAAAATAAAAGAAAAAAACTAAGAACGTACAACAAAGTGGCAGAAAGAGACAAAATCATTGTTTTACCGTAAAACCTGTGTGTGTGTGTGTGTGTGTGTGTGTGTATCACTTGAAGCTGGAAATTTTTCTAAACTTTAGGACAATACTCAGTTTTACAAAGGTAAAACTGTATAATCATATACTGATGTTTGTCAACAGCTATAACTTTAAAATAACTTTTAACAATTTCAAACTCATTCTCTCAAACATACTTAAACTTAGTTCTCAGTCTGAAAATACTGGGTATATATGAGATCCAGATAAATTTCCAATTAAATAATAAATGCTTATTTTATTAGAAATGATATACTAAGTATGAAACGATCCAAGATAAAACATAAATTAAAACAATATATTTTGGTTCTTTGATTTAAAGATATTTCCATCATCTTAATCTTCTTACCCCTAAGGTTCATTACAATTCCTCTTCCATTTATAATGGCCTTTTATGGCTAAACCATAGGAAATAGAAAGTTCTCAGTTTAACGTTTACTCTCTTCTATCTACTGTGTCCCTCTTCCCTCAAGACCTCAAAATGCTATACTGAAGTCTTCTCATAATCTCACAGGAATTTATTGTATGCCAGCAATTCTCAACTAGGGAACTTTTTCCCCTTAGGAACATTTGACAAGGTCTGGAGATATTTTGGGCTATTACAATGGAGAAGGGATGCTATTGGCATCTAGTAGGTAGAGAACAGGAATACTGCTAACTATCCTACAATGGAGACAACCCACCCCTGCAAAAAAATTCCAACCCAAAATGTCATGGTGCCAGTATTAAGAAACTCTGCACCAGAATGTACCCGCGATGCTATGCCAGATACTACAATAGATAAATAATAATTATATGGCATGGTTACTGGTTCCAAGGAGCCTACAATCTAGATGAAGGGACAAAACAATTACATGTTTTTAATTCAACATATAATTTATGAGCAAAATGGATAGCACATATAAAATATGTAAATAAATCATCACATAGAAAAGACTTGTGTTGGTTCTTACAGCGCAGAGACATAAAAGGGAGAAGAGAATTACATAGCAAAGTAGACCACAGGTTAGTTAGAGGTCACTCAGGGGCTTGTGAAGATAACAAGATGGGTAAATGCTGGTGGGAGCGTGAGAAGCAATCATAAAGAGTGGTGTCAGATGACGGTTTTCCTTAAATTTCAGACTGAGGAATATATACTATTTGAGGAAATGAAAACTTTCTGAGTGTTTGTCATCATTGGGACAATTAGTGGGTAGAAATGAAAGCTCCTGGGATACTAGCACTATCAGCACGTAGACCGGGATGGATAGGTGTGATGGCAGAGAAAGCACATGACCAATCACTCAGCTCTGACGCGAGGAAGGCACAGGTTGTGTCAGTGACAGGAAAAGACTCAGCTTCAGCAGCCACTGCGTGAGGAGCAGATGGACCTTGAAGACCTGGGGAAATGGAGTCAACGAGGGCCCTGAGTTTTTAAGCCCCTTGACATCTTTTCCTTCCCATATTGGTTCCTGCCATTCTCCATTCTGGGATGGGCTCCCAGTTTCCTTTCTGACAATTCCCAAGCACCATTTCCTTTAAAACTTCTGCAAAACTGATGTGCATACTGTTTTGGTTGTTTTCTACATCTCCTTACTCACCTCTCACTCACCCTTCCCTCACTTGGCATCCCACGGGTGCATCAGCTAATTTTATTCTCAGGCCTTTCCTATTATTTGTTTCTCTAATTTGACCCTGTACCGTTACCAATCCTTAGACAGTGCTGCTCAGGAGGTATTTAATTAAAAAATCTGGCAGAAAGAGGATGAGCAGAGTGTAAGTGGTAGAGAAATAGACTGAAAAAACTCTTTAAATCTGATTTTAGTTTACTGCCTTAAATTCAAATGGAAACATTTTTTAAAAATATTTTTAAGCTATAGATGGACACAATATCTTTATTTTATTTTATTTATTTTTATGTGGTGCTGAGGATAGAACCCAGTGCCTCTCATGCATACCACTGAGCTACAACCCCAGCCCTGGAGACAATTTTGTTTAGATCTGTGAGAAGAAACCGTCTGAGAGAAACTTCCGATATAACTCTCAGTGAATTATACACGATAGGTGGTTTTTACTATGCACATCTTTTAAAACAAGTCCTAGGAACAAGCCATTCTGTATGTAAATGCAAGTCTGGAAAAAAATATAATATTTAAAGAAAAGAATATTCCATATATTTTAATGCTTGTATACGAATACAACCCAATAACTGAATATCACTGAGAGCACACAGAATGCCATATTTTTTTTTAAATAAAAGAAACACCTGAAATCATTAGATGCAAATCAAAGTAGTAACCCCTTAGAATAACTGGAATTTGAAAATATTTCTAAGAACATAAAAAAGTAGTTTAGAAAATGTCACTTAAAAATAGGAAGAACTTAATTTAGAAGAGGGCATGTTATGAAATGCTGAACCTGAGGCCCCAGGCTGTATTAGTTTTGACCCCTGACCAACTTGATGATCTTCTATTTATAGTGGTTTCAGGTGCTCTATAAGAACAAAAGATCTTTTTTGTTCCTTCTCCCTTTTTCTAAGCAGAATGCCCTAGTCTTAGGTACATCAAATGCACGCATTATATGAGGTCAAGCCTGTTAATGTTTCTTCCATGTTTAAGGAGTTTGTATTTTAGAGCAAACTGCTGAACTGACAGACTATAAACAAAGTAACCATTAGGTTAGCCAACAGCTCTTAGGTTAGTAGTTATTAGGTTAGCCAACAGCTATTAAAAGTAACAGTATGCTCATAAAGCTGATATAATCCAATCCTTTGAAAATTTTTGCACAAGAGTATTTTTTCCTATTATCTTGTTGGCTTTAGGTTTGGGATGGGATTCAGTAAATACACATAGAACATTGGTTACATAAAATGTATGATACTGCACACCAGTGGGGAGATGAGAGAATCACAGAGAATATGAAAAATTAACTGTGTAACTAATTTTGTTGAAGCTATGACAAGTGCTACTACAGAGAGATGAAAGAACAATGGAGCATGTGATGACTATAACTCAGACCCTGGAGAGGCCTCAGATGTGCACTGTGATCTGAGCTATGTGTTAGAGGTAAGAGGCTGTTGGGACAGGAAACAAAAAGTTTTCAGAATATGAGCAAAGTGTGTGTGTGGGGGGGGATAGTCGAGGTCTACTCTGTGAGTGCAAAGTGTTCTCATGAGTCTATGGTGTAAAGTGCTTAAAACAGCAGATGAGATCAAAGGAAAGGCTAAAATAGATCATAAAAGGCCAGCTGGATTCTTTGGATTCTCACCAACATCTCTCTTTCTTCTCTGCCTCAATATAGGATAATGTTTGCTTTTGTTGGTTTGGTTTTGGTGAGTTGTTTTGTGTTACTGTTATTATTTGGAGTGGGTGATGAGTTAGCAATGGAAAACTACATTTCCCTTCCTCCTTGGCAGACACAGGTAGCCAAATGACTAAATTCTGGTGAACTGGAATGTAAGAAGAAGTTACTGGATGGGGTTTTTGGAATGCTACTTAAAGGAGGGGGATGATGATTATACCCCTCTCTGCCTTTTTGCCTGGATTGTGGAAGTAACGGCTGAACTACACAGGCCTTTTATGACCATGAGATGATCTCAAGAATGAAAAAAAGAGCAGAGCAAGAAGTCATACTATTAACCCTAAATTCTTTCCATCTACTATTACTTCCAGCCAAATATAATTCCTAACTGACTGTCCTTCAGACCTAGGCTGTGGAATCTGGACTTTCATCTGTTTATTATCAAGCCAGCAAAAATTTTCTTCAGATATATACTTTGAATAGAAGTGTTATGAGTTAGATCCCAGTAGTGAATTAAAACTCATCAAATTTATTTCAGAAATACAATTCCAAATACTACTGAGAGTATTAAAATAACTTTATTTTCTACATATAAGTAACTACATTAGAATGGACATACCTGTTTTAGAACTGGATAAAAATGACTCCCAACTTTCATGTAAACTTCTGCTTCCTAACAACTTGTTTCATTATAATGTGACTCTTAGAGACTAGTAACAACCACCTTTTATAAACTGCATTAGACTATGAATAACAGGTCATTTACTTACTCTCAAAAAGAAGGATAAATCCTCTGTTTGCACTTAATAGTGATCTTCTAAAACATCATAAATAGATGATACACTTGACTTGGAAGAAATAATGTCCCTATTAGCACTACAGATTAATCCGAAAAGTCAGCATTGCTCCTCTGACCTTCATATGGGTCAAGGACAGAAAGTTTGGGTCAAATCTGATTGTCCACTGTGCCTGGCATCCATGTACAGCTTAGTGGTTCAGTAAATAAAGGCAAGTAAAGATTACAGATGTGACAGATTTCCCCACACACAATAAAATCAGTTACCAGAATTAAGTCCAAGTAGGCAAATCATACTCAAAATTTACTCTTATTCTCTATCATTCATATAGCATAATCTCCAGAATGACCTTCAAATAACCTCTGAATCTTTGTTTTTACTAAAAAAATGCACCACATCTCAAAAGGCAAAGCAACATAGCTCTTTAATGTCACATATTCAAGCCTCTGCTGTTGACTGCATTCTAAAATTTTCCTCTTAAATATCCATCCTAACCGATGTCACTCTAGTTCTGAAGGCTGGACAATGTTTTTCAATTCTGAAGTAAGTAGTAAGTTATCAAATAAGTTAGGGGAAAATGAAACTCCCACTTCAATTCTATAATGATTCATATGAAAGCTAATCACACTGGGAGTCAAGTGCCCATGTTTCAAAAATAAGGACATGTTGATATGCCCAAGGAGACAGTGACTCTCAAAACTGACAAGGGAAAAGCCCACACAACCTCAGGTTTGTTGGTAACTTGAGAAGAATT